TTTGTAACCATTATCCACTATTTGCTAAATTTTAACTATTATATCAAACAAACCTCAATCATATCAATGATTGATTAATTAAATAAAGTATACTTGATTATGATATTAACAAGTAGATTATATGAAATTATTGCATATAAGTCTTTATTTTTAAAAAAATAAATTAGAGTCTCAATTTATATTTGAAAAATGAAATCCTTATTTAAAATTCAGAAATCCATTATATTAAATATTAATACATAGATTTAGAAACCAATTATATATAATATAATCATTTTTCAAATTTAAATATCAATAGTTAATAAAATAAAATTTTAAATTTTGACTTTAATTTTAATTAAATAAAATAACATAATTTAAAATTAGAAATCCGATTCAAAACTAATATGTGTTTTTCTTAATCTATATTTAGGTGTTTTTGATATAATAATTTATTTTCTTGTATTATCTACCTTCAACTCTATATAAAGGCTATATATGTAACTCTCTGTACATCTCTCAATAATAATAAAATGTCTTTCAATTTTCTCTTCTTGCTTTTCCATACTTTAAACCTTAACAGTGGTTTTGTTGCTTCCGCAATTCTTCTTATTGTTTTAGGGTTTATCTAGCTTTAAGGTTAAGATTCATTAATTAAACTATCTTTAATTAATCATACACTAATTTTCATACTAGATTCATATTTTTTTATAATTTTTAAGTATAAATATTATATTATATTTTTACATATTATTTTATTTGAATATTGTATGAATATTTATGTAAAATTAATTATAAATATTACAATTAATAAGACTTAACCTGTGTCAGATTAAACAATCTTATTGTATTATATTTGGTTAAACTTTTAATTTGGTCTCTCAACCATTATATAGATTCTTGAGTTGATCCCTAAACTATGTTAAAAAAAACTAACATAGTCTGTTATTAACGTGACATATGACCGAAAAGTAATGGTTTTTTTGTCATCAATTAATGAATATATTAGTTGTTTTTTAACAAAAGACCAATTTTGTGCCAAACCTAACAACTTTAAGGATTAAATCATGAATTTTTTAGTTCAAGGGCCAATTTAAAGGCCATACAATAGTTAAGAGATTAAATTAGAGGTTTATCCTTTATAATGTTCATTTCTCTTATGAA